CTGCATGGAGCACTGGGTGTTATGCACAAACAATGAATCACGAAACACTACATCAAAAACTAATGATGTAATGTATGGTGACTAACATAACATAATAAAATTAAATTAAAAAAAAAAAAGAATCACTGACAGGTGCCAAGTGTTCGTTTCTTCCCAGAGAGTCAGGAAAAGACCCATGTAGCATTTGTCAGGGCCCAGTGCCAGCTGCCGCCGGGCCCCCAGAGACAGAAGATGACCCACCAGAAGCCTCGTGATGGAACTTGAAGCCTTCCAGCTGAGGGTACGTGACACTGTCAAACACCTTCAGCTCTGACCTCCCACAGGTCGTCAGCCACACCACCAGGTCGAGGAGCTCCTCCAGGTGGGGGTCCACTTCGCTCTGCGTCAGCCCATCGTACCTGCAGGGACAGATGAGGCAGCCATGTTGGCTCACGGCGCTCCTCACAGGGATGCAGAGGCAATGCGAGACCCCCAGAGGTCTCCCCCAGTCAGCACCACACGGCAAGGGGAGCACCCTGGCTAAAAGTCACTCTGCAAATGTCGGCCTTAGGTGTAAGGACATACAGTTGGAATATATAAAAACCTGTGAAGAGCTAAGCATTTGCTCATGGGAAGGCTGCTTCCTGTGCCTGAACCCACCCCAAAAGACATGCACACCAGCAGAACAGGGGCAGCCCGAAAATGAGAGATTTAATATTTCAAGTGGGCAAACAAACCTCTTGGGAAGTAATCAAACTTTATTAGACTTCCTTATGTTGATGTCAAGGTTGAGTACTATTTTCATTCTTGGCTACTTATGTGTAGGTGGGCTACCTTTCTCTTCTTGTGGAGGAGGGTCTGCCTCTCTCTCTGAAATCTTATTCCAGCTCTGCCATGTCAAGAGCAAAGGTGCTTGCAAGATGACTTCAGGTAAGGCAGGAAAAAAAAAAAATCCAATGAGCTGAGATGGGTCCTTCCTGACACTCCCCGGATCAGGCTCATTTCCCCCTCCTGGCTTCCACAAGAATTCTGGAGAAAACCGGCCACCCAGTTAACAGAAGAAATGTCTAGAAACTGCTATGCTGCTGACCTCTTGGGAGCAACAGCAAGTTGGTCATGATCCAGACCAGTTTAAAACCTAGCAACCCCACAGGAACGTTTATTCTTAGCGTCCCTTTGGAGGAAGGCCCTCAAGGTGTTGCCATCTAGTCACATTCTTTTGGGGCTTCAGCCCCCTCAACCAACTGTCCCTTCTAGACTAGAAGCCTGACTCTGCAGTCAAGTCTGTGAAGCACAGTGGGAAGCCACACCCCACAGATGAAAACGGCTTCTCATATTCACAGAGCAGAGCACCACGGAGTATATGTGGCCCTGCCCTTAAGCAGCTTCCCCAAGAGCAATGGAGAAGCTGGAACAATCAAGGTATTTCTTTGATTTCCATCTCTTGTCTTATCCATCCCTGGACCCGACCTGAAAATGATATGGCAAGTGAGAGTGGAGGAGATGAGTCCTGCCCCAGCTCAGTGGTATCTTCATTTGGGCTTCTCATAGTCAAAGATTTGAGAGAGAGAAGGTAGTTCATTTGGGAGTTGAACCAAAAACTTCTGCTAGTGGAAAGAGTCTGTAAGAAGAAAGGGAAGGGAGCCAGGACAGGAGCATTGTCAGGTAAGCACCCTGTAGGGCAACGGGAGTGTAACACTCCTGGGGACTCTGGGAGGCAGGGTAGAGATGGCCCACCCAAGGGGCGTTTTGCTGGGTATTTATACATCAGCTCCTGCCAGTCCTTGGCAGAGGGCTGCTTCTGGGGGTTGTTGACTCCTCAGCACTCCTTCCAGCCCCCAAGCATGTAGGCAGAGCTAGTTACAACCGTCCCAGAGAGCCCTCCAGCACAGAAATGTGTGTTCTAATAGGCAGCTGGCAAGCCAGTGGGCATGCGTGTGGTATGTACCACCAAATACACTTGGTAATTCCCCATCCATTCTCAAAGGAACTGGCTCCCAGATCCTGACGCACCTTGAATTATTTTTGCAATAAAAGTCTCTCTGGCTATGCTCTATGGAAATTTGTGCTTCAGAAGACATTCAAAGAAGCCTCAATATCTGTCTTTCTCCAAAGCCCCCCAAATGATACTGAGGACCTACACTTTGGCAGTTTCTTCCCCACCAAGGACAACCACTTACCGAAGTAACACTTTGAGGAGGAGAGGGTAGCCCTCCCCATTCTCAAACTCTAGGAACAGAGCTGAGGAGACAGGGTAGGAGTCCTTCACAAAGCCCAAGATGAGGTTCACTGCCTCGCTCACCTCGGGAGCGGGGAGGCTGTCCGCAAGCTTGGAGAGGTTCTGAAGGGAGAGTTTGATGCAGTCCATGGCTGCGGGAAGAAAACAACCCTGTTGAGTTAGGAGGCGGTAGCTTTTCTGCCATAGTCGTTGGCTTCCCGCCCTCCTCTCAACTGTATGTACCAAGATGTAAATGAGAATTAATTCGAAAACACTTTTCTGCTGGGTCTTGAGTCAAGAAGGAGTCTCCCGCATGGGAAGTACAATCCCAAGAGCCACATTCTGCAGACCCAGATGGAGAGTAAGCGAAACAGGAAGAGGAAGGGAGGGTCTTAGCCAGCTGCCCCTAATTCCCAGCATGCAGCGGGGCAGGAGGGGCGGGTCCATCAGGTCGTGAGCCGCACGATGCCGGAGCTGGGCACTGAGAAAGACCTTCTTAAGGAAGCATCTCTGGAGATGCGCAGAGATCAGCCTGATAAAAAGTTCAGGGAAGGATATAGGAGTACGTAAGAAGGTAAGGGACCAAAAGATGGTGTGTTTCCACTACTAAAGTACCCAGGCGTTTGGCACCCAGAAGTGTGGGTCACAAGGGAGGGGGAGGAGGGCAGGGCCAGCTCGTGTGTGGGCCCTGGTCCTGGGACTTGCCCATTACTGTTACCCAGAGCTGTGAGAAGCCAAGGGGAGATTTGAGTCAGAAGAGAGATGTCACTGGATTTGCATTTCAGTGGATCACTATTTTTAGAGCTCTTTCACCGGGCGAAGACTCTTCTGAGTGCCACGAAAGACACCCCAGTGGATCAGGAAAAATGTCTACTCGATAACACGTGCTGTGTTCCTCAGCTGCAAGGCTTCAGATGCCCCCAAAGTCTGCACGATGGGCAGGTCAGCCCCAAGAGCTGCGGGCTTGGCAGGTAACCACCAGGCCAGCCCTTTCTTCCAGGCCTTCTCTTCAGCCTCTACACCTAAGGAAACTACCCATTCCGAATCTAAGGGAGTCCTAGGCTCAGTGCTCCAGGCAGCAGGCTCCCCACCAAGGTGAGAATTTTCTTTTCTGGTTATTGTCTTGGACAGCTAACAGTAATGACACAGTGAGAGACCCCTGCCACCAATGCATGCAGCTTTTTCTCAGGGATCTGACTCCAGCCTATGGGGGTGACCTGGGCTACTGAGCATCTCAGGCCCAGCTCAGCTCGGGGCCATTACCGCTGGGCCCTGGCCTTACCGGGAGCCTTGAATCCCTAACCTGGGGCTGACATTTGGTCCCGGGCTCAGTTACAGTAAGGCAGTGGGCTTGTTGAACTCTCTCAGCTGTCAGCAACTGACTCCCCCTGTTACGGGAGGCCCCAGAAAGAAGACAAATCACAGGGCAAGGGTTTACTCTCCCTATTTTACAGATAAAAGAACTGAGGCACATAAGCACTTGAGTGCTCAAGGTCATTCAGTGATGAGAACAGGAGGACAGAGCTGGAGTCCACAGCCCAGCTGTCTGGTTCCAGAATCTATGGCCTTAACCCCTATATATGCTGCCCAGAGCAGAGCCGAAAGCACTGGTTTGGGCATCTCTGGGTTTAGAATGTGATCTCTCCTGTTTGTGAGTTAGGGAGCTGGGCAAGTTCTTCCACCCTGTCTCCTTTTCCCCCTTTACCAAATGGCATTAATATTCATCTCAAAGACACTGATGAGATAATACACAAATGGGCCTAGCACGGGGTCTGTTTGATAGCGTGTGTGCAGTAAATGAGTTCCCCTTTCCTTTCCTCCTCCGATGGAGCACCAAAATAAATAAGAAATGCACTTTTGTAAAGGAAACCAAGCAAAGGGGCATCTACTGGGCATAGATGGGCATCCGTGAAGACCTTGTTTGTCCATCTCTTTTTTGGTTCCAAGGTCTCACTGTAGAAAGTGGGCCCACATCCCAGCCCTGGTCTCCTGGGGTCATACCCTGCAGGTACTGAATGATGCCGAGGTTGTGGGCTTTGGAGATTGCCCTCAGCACACAGAAGGTGGGCTCCTTCCAAAAACAGCAGCTGTGTTCCCGAAGACAGGTAGTGGCAATCACTAGAGATTGGAGCTCATTTCCTGATAGAAGTCTCTCCAGCCCCTGAGGCTCACTGCAAATGTTCAGCAACATCTGGAAAAAAAAAAAAAATGCCTGGTTAGGAAGCCTCCTTCCTGTAACAGATTTCTTCCCTACTTTTCCAGAGCTCAGAGGCGTATGTCTCAGTGCAAAGGATGGGTTGTATGGGTCACACTCTGCCCCAGAGCATCATGGTCAGCAATATCACCTAGAAAAGGGTGACAGGGCGTGGGCTAAAGTTTGCAGTTTACCCTTTCCGATTCAGAATAACAAAGAAGGGTTTGACTTAGAGAGTTGTCCTTTTACATAGAAGTGCAGGAAAAAATGTCATCAAAAGTTAAAGTATAGAATTAATAGGACCCATGGCTATTTAAAAAGAGATGTGCTCCGGGGCACCTGGGTGGCTCAGTTGGTTAAGCGTCTGCCTTCAGCTCAGGTCAAGATCCCAGGGTCCTGGGATCAAGCCCCACATCAGGCTCCCTGTTCAGCAGGGAGTGTGCTTCTCCCTCTCTCCCTGTTCATGCTTGCACTCTCTCTCTCAAATAAATAAATAAAATCTTAAAAAAAGAGAGAGAGATGTGTTCCCAGATCCCTGGTTGACACTCAAACCCTACTTCTCATGAGATCATGAGCCTCATCCTATAACTTCCTCTCTGGGCCCCGTGCCTCCTCCCCACCAGTCTCCCTATGGCTACCAGAGGGCCTTCTGATACCTTCCTGCCGCTTGGGGCAAATCATGGCTCCCAGAGTTCTGTGCAGACTAGCCCCACCTTCTCGTACCTGTGATTGTGTGCAGCCCTCCCTCTGGCTCTGGGTGGTCTAACTGGATCTCCTTCTAGTTCGGCAAATATGAAAAGCTCCTTCCATCTGAATCTATTAGCCCCTTCTGAGCACAGTGACAGAGTCCAGCCTGGACAGCCACAGAGCTGGGCTCCAGACCCCATCTGCTGGCCTCCCCCGCAGGTGGGCGTGGCCATGTGACCCTTGGCTTGGACACCGTTTCTGCTCCTGTCCCCTCCCCTCCCCCTTCACATGTCTGCTACCACCTTCAGCTCTGGGTCAATGCCATTTCCTCCCGACAGCCTTCCTTCATGCTCTGCTATAAATCAGGTCCCCTTGTCCTCATTTCCCAGCACACCTTCCATTTTTCCTTCAAAGCACTTAAAAAATTGGGACACTGCTATTTAATTACATGATTATTTACCCTGTTTGGCTTCCCCATCTTTCTGTCACCTCTATGAGAGAGGGTATTATGCTTTGCTGCTGGAACCATCGGTCTGGTATAGGGCAGTACATGGGAGGAGCTCCATATATTTTTGCGGAATGAAATAAGGAAAACCCTGAGGAATGCAGCCGTGGCCTATCACTGTGGCTCGCAATCTACCCATACACGGCTCGAACCCTGAAGGCAGAGCTGCACTAGTTCTCTGCAGGACACGTAAAAACTGCGTGGTAAAGATTTCTCCACGTGCCCAGGACTGCATCCTGGCCACCACTTAGAATATGATTTACATACAGATAAATGATGCCTCAGTTTCCAACAAATGCAGCTTAAGGGATAACCTACTGTAAGTGAACTTGTGAGATAACCTCTGATAACAATGATTCTGGCTTGAGAATGAATCTCAAATGGATCCTAACGTGAATGCACATGTGCAATGCACAAATGCACTTGGAAGTTCCCAAAAGCCCTTAAGCACCTGCTCTGTGACACGGTGCCCCAAGGCCCTGGCTGCAGAAAGCTGAGTAGGACACAGGGCCCTCCTTACCCTCCCCCGATCAAGGTCTCCTCCAGAGAGGCAAGAGGAGTTTTCTGGAGAATGCAGCATCCGGGAAGCTGAGAAAGCAGAACTGGTCAGTAAGGGGTCAGGGAAAGAGGTGAGAAGTTATGCTAAAAGTTGCTGCTGGTAGTCAGAGAGGATAGGAAAAATGGGGAAGGACACCAGGAAATTGCATTTGATGTTTAGCAGCCTGTGATAGGTTCTGGGAGGGGGAAGGAGGTGACCTCACAAAGTGGTCTTGGGAGCCCAATCCCAGCCCCTCACCCACTACCTCTGTGCCCCTGAACTCACTTTCACTCACCATACTTTAGTTGACATGGAATCAGAATTGTAATACTATACACACCCTGGAATGGAAGAGAGGGCTCGGGGAGGTGACAGGTGCGAGGCCGTGGCATGGGTGCGTTCAGGGAAGTACTTGGAAAATGTTGGCTACCCTTATGCAGGTGCAGGTAGCGTGCTTGTCCTCAGAGGAGGCAGGGGCCGGAGACAGGAGGCCCCACATGCTGGGGAGGGCAAGCAGGGCCTGGGAATGCAGCCTGGAGGAAGAGAAGCTGCTGGGGCCAAGTGCAGGAGGAAGAGCACACTTTTCTGGGGGAGAACGAGGGATGCAATGAGATGGAGAAAGAAGAACATCCATTTTCCAAGTGCACAGGCTTGCTGGCATCTGCAGAGCATGGGGACCAACAGAGGAGCTGGCTCTCCAGGAGGACAGAGTCGCTTCAGGGCTATGACTGAGGAAGATGAAGCAGAGCCAGGTCTTGGCCCAGGGATGTGGAGCCCTCCTCTCACTCACCTGCACAAACATCCTCTGAACTTGAACATCACTCTCAAAAAGCTCATCCTTTTCCAGAGGAAAGACAAAGAAGAGGTAAAGGCACTGCAGGAGCAGGGCTGGAAGGCCAGACTCAGCAACTCTGCCCAGCGTCTCCTGCAAGGGAAGCACGGACGTGACCGCAGAGCCCGCGGAGCACCCCTCCAACCCAGACCGGCGCGGTCCAGCCCTGCAGCCGTTTTAGCCGGGAACATGGGTAAACCCTGTCCTCTCTCTGGGCAACACATTCTCAAGTTAGCATGGAGACCATCATCTGACCCACCTAGGGCGGCTGTGAAGATTACATTTATGTAGAGTGTACACTATGTGCTTGATTAACATGTCTTCTTTTACAGGAGAGCTAATCGGAAGGAGGGAAAGGAGGAACAAAGGGAGGGAGCGAGGGAGGGGGGGACAGGTGCAGAGCAGAAAACAAGGGCTTTCCTACATGATCATACTACTGATTTGGGTCGGTTGCCTCCTGATTAGGGAACTGGACACTCAGAAGGGCATGGTTCATAACAAGGGCAAACACCTAATGCACGACCTGATCAAGGCCCTTCCCATCCCCTCGTTCAGGTCTGAGACTTCCCCAAGACCGAAACGGTCCTATAGGTGACCACTGATAACCAACGTGGCCAGACAGAGGGCAGAAGACAGGAAGTGGGCAGGGAGGGGACCAGCCTGAGTATGGAGCTTCCTGGAGCCTTTCTGCCACGTGCTCTGCCTGAAGCTGCCCCAGGGGTTACGGCAGCAGCAACGCCTGCGTGTGTGTGTGCACACGTATGCACGTGGGCGCATGTATGGCATTAGTCTAACGCATACTGCCCACCCAACTTCCCACCCAGCGTACTAATGTGACAGATACAGTGGCAAAATGAGAAAAAGGGAAAGGAAGGATGTACGGTCCGGGCCAGAACCAGAAATATAAGGCGGGCTGCTGGTCCTACCCTTCCCCCTCAAAGCTTCCAGTATGCGATAATGGCCGTGGCTCTGCTGCGACCCAGCTTGGCGGGGGGGGGGGGGTCCCCTGTCCTCCATGCTGTATGGGCTCTACTGAAAGCCAACTGCTTACTTGTCTCACTGCTTTTCGGGCTGGCTGCTCACGGTGGAAGACAAGCCCTTAGGTTAATTTTTACCACCAGACTGTGAACAGTCCCGCCCCCGGGGGCAGAAAAGCTCCTGCCCTGCGCTTCAGGCTGCCATGCTGATGGTGGTCCGGGCGGTTTATGTAGAGCGAAGGCCAGCGGATCCTCCCTGCAGTGAGCAACTGCACACCAAGCTCCTCTCACAGCTGCACACACTGCTTCAGATGCCCGGCTGAGGTCTGTGTTCACTGTTAGCCTCAGGGGGGCCATGCCCCCATCTGGTTCCCTGCTGCTCCCGGCGCTGAGCGCCAGACCGGCATGCAGTGGGCACTCTCACCAGGCACATGGGTCTCTGGGCCTGCCCTGTCCAGGACCCCTGGCCAGTCCTGCTGCTAGCCACAGCTGCCGGGGGCTGCTTCTGCCTAAGAGGACACCAGCCATCCGCAATCCACTCGCAGGGAGGACATGTCTGCAACCGGGATGGGGCACCGTGGGAAGGGGAGAAAGAGAAGCCAGTCTCATTCAGGCACTGTCTCCGGGCAGGCGTGGGACTGGTGCCTAAGGGGGGCTCCTTCAGTCTGAGTTTAGCAGGAGGCAGTAAAGAGCAGTGGCTTGGAGCACAGGCTCTGGAGTCAGACAGAGAGCAGGAACACAGGATGGTGACTAACGTGGCTTCAGAGTCTGACTCAGAGGGCTTAGGGGGTTTAATTGACCTGCATGGGACACATCAGCCTTGCCCCGACACAGAAAACTGTCCACACACATCAGCCATTGCTAATCCCTGCACTAACCCGAGAACTAAGGCATTATCCCCCATTTTAAAATTAGCCACACAACTGTGTCACAGAAAGGTGACAGTTTGCCCAAGGTGACACACAGCTTGTCAACTCAGAAAAGCAGGATTCGAAAATGACTTTCAGATGCTCAAGTCCATGTTCCAGGTCAGAAGGGAAATAGGGCAGGAGAAATGATAAATCAGTATCATAGCAAAAAAGACACTCTTGAGATGTGCCATTGCCCTTTGCTGGGACGTCCTGCTGCACATGGATATGGAGCTCCCAAGCTGGGGCCCAAGGGGCCTGGAACTTACCGAGTTTGTCCCCGTGAGCACAAATACTGACTTCAGGAGCAGGTAGCCATCCTGATCCACATCCCCCTTCCACCGCAGCAACTGCCCAGCCGCCTCCCTCGCTTGCTCTGGTAATAGCACATGAAGGAGAGAAAGCATTACCAGCAAGGCGGTGCAATGACCTGCCCACCCTCCTTCCCACCCCTTAGCCTCCTTCCCCGTGAGATGTGCCCTAGCATCTTTAGGGCACTTCTGTCTCCTTTCCTCCCCACAATGCCATCTGAATCCATACCAAACGTTTCACACTCTGCCAGATTTATCTCCTGGGAGGATCGTCTTTATCATGTCACCATCCTTGTTCAACAACCATCAATACCTCTCCATTACCAAATAATAAGAAGCTCCTCAGCTATTGGACTTCTCACAATCCAGAGTCTTTACCCCACCTCCACTTCCTATATCCTTCAGCCCCTCATATTGCAGAGATTCCTGCAATCTACACCATGCTCAAGATACTCCTTCCCCTAGAGTCCCCTCCTGCCCCTCAGCCCCATAGTCACCGTGAAACTCTGCCCAGCCTCCAGGGTCCAGCTCTAGGAGCAGAAGAATGCAAGTCAGGAGACCCCAAAACAGAAAACATGCTTGGCTTTGGCTTCTGTGTCTTTTCTGGATCAAGCTATGCACTGAACACACAGGTGTACCTTTTATTCTCCTCCCAGAGACCCTGGTCCTGGTGTGTGTGTGCGTGTGTCCCTCCCAGGAGCAGCAGAATTCTGCAAGTCCCTCTTCCCTCCTCTGCCAACCTTTCCCTTCATTCCCAGCATCCTCACTGGCAGAAGTGAGCCTGTGGTGCTCTCTGGAAAGCACCACTCAGACTCCACTAGAAAGCAGAGAGGGGCTTCGCAGGAGTCCTGGAAGGAGCACGCAAGGCTGTTTAGCTCTCCATAAAGTGTTCTCTTACCTGCCGGCTTTCCCACAAGTGCCTTCTGTATCTCTCGGGCAAGATGGTTAGAAGTATCTTCTGCCAGCCTTTGGAGACTGGGAAAGCAGACGATCCCCACAGAGTTTTCCCAGGCCTGAAGTGCAATAAACAGGATTCCAGCAAAGATGCCAAAGCTACAAAGCGAGGCATGACAGTCGCCTTGCCGCTCTCCCTGCCAGCCCAAACCAGTGGGTCACCTCACTGTCCCAGGTGTATCCCAAAGGCCACCAAAACACCTACCCTAACAGCTTCCGCTGCATCCCTACCCTAGTGCCTGTGAATTCTTCAACTTCTGCCCTGAGCCCTGAACATCAGCCCCTGAACTCATGCTCCTGAAGTGTCAAATACACGTAGTCCAATCCACTGCCTTCCTCCCAAATCTGTTATATCCTGTCTCTGCGAATGGTTCTGCCAAGCACCCAGTTGCCCTAGTGGGAAATTCCAAGGGTGATTTTCTAGGTCCCCCTCTCCCTCACCTTACCCCATCAACTGCTACCTCTCTGATTCTCCTCTTGAATGCTTCATGCTTCTCAAACCTTGTGCAGATATCGTAGTTTAAGTCATACAGTTATTTCCTTTGATAAATTCTAAAGGGTGGGATTGCAAGTTACAAGGGCATGCTTCTTATTTTTATTTATTTATTTATTTATTTTTAGTGCTTTGGTACATATTACTAACTCATTCCCCAGAAAAAGTTTACCTGATTAGCCTCACCAGGAGTTCCATGGGAGGGGACTAGTTTCTGTACACCCATTGTGCACTGTCATGCATTTTCATCTTAAATGAGAATCTCAATTGCAGTCTTTTGATTACTAAAATAGATGAACACTTTTCATGCTTCTTGAATTGCCTGTTTTTACCATTAGCCTATTATTCTATTAGGTTTTTCGCTATTTTCTTATTTGTTTTAAAAAGCTCTTTCTATATAAAAAAATGTTAACACTTGGTCCATAATACTATCGTGATTTTTTTCAAATTTGTCATTTTCTCTTTTAATTTGGCATTATTAGGTTTTGCTGTACAGAAATCTGAAATTTACATGAAATGAAATTTCTCAATCAATTCCTTTGTTTTCTAGCTCTAGTTCCAGGCTCAGGAAATTCTTTTAAGTCCAAGTGGTTGTGGTCACTTTTAATCTCCTATTTCTTTTCTTTTTTTAAATTCTTTAAAATTCTTTCTTCTCTGTTCCTTCTCTGGTTCTATCCTATCTGGTCATCTTTTGGCCTTGGACTTTTTCTTTTATTGTTTAGGAAACTATTTAATAGAAGTCATTAATTTTAAAATTCCACTTAGGATGCCCGACCCTTTTCAGAATTCCCTCCCAGTCTGCTTTTCATTAGAATCTTCTCCCTTTGTTCTCCTGTGTTGTCACAGGCAGAGTTTACTAGTCCTAGGATGAGGAGAGTTCTCTCCAGACCAACAGTCAGAATTGAGTGACTCTTCTTGGCACAGGCCTTGAGTTCCTGGCAACTTCACCTTTCCAGTTTCCCACCTTCAAAGGGAGGTAGGCTTCTGAGCATGTTCCTGGCAATTAATGGCCTCAACAAAATACAATTTTGCTGGACTGCCATCCACTGCTTCTACTCACCAGCCATATTAAATTACATTCCTGCCAAAAGACATGACTGAGTTTTTTAAAGCTGAGAGCCTCCTTCTAGAAAAGGTGAGAAAAGCATCAAAATTCCAGAGGGAAATGTGTTTCCTTGCTGTAGACACCATATTTATTAAAGAGTAAAAACCTTTTAGAAATGTTCTCTATATTAAATGATGCTACATACAAAGGAAACAAGCCACAGATTGGGAAAAAATATTTATAATGCATATAATGAACAAAGCAATCGTGTCCAGATTCCTACAAATTAATTTTTAAAAAACCTGATTTTTTTTAAAACAGGCAAATGAAACCAGTAACTTATAAAAGATACAATAAATAACAAATTACTGATAATCAGGAAAATGTAAATTAAAAGTACTATGAGATAGTCATATTTTTCAGGTTGGTAAAAATGTAAAGCCTGACAATACTAAACGTGGGAAAGGACCAGGAAACCCCCATGATCTACTGATGGAGCACAACTTGCAGAAAATACCTTTGAAATCCAATAAAGTTATAGGGGGACACATCCTATGGCCTAGCAATTCCCTTCTAGGCATATTCCCTGTAGAAATGTTGGCACATATACACAAGGAGACATGAACACGAACTATTATGCACCTTATCTGTGATTGTGTCACATAGGAAAACTCAATGTTCATCAATAGGACAATGAATGAATAATTTGTGGCATACATATGTAAGGATACTATATAGAACTGAAAAAGAAATAGAGCTACATGTATCAATATGGATAAATCCAGAAATAGAATGTTGGGTGCAAAAAGCAAGTTGTAAAAGTATATTACAGTTTTGAGTCTAGAAAAACCTGTGAGTCTACAGATAAATTTCACAGTAATATCACTTATGATTATTAAAATGCATTCATATTATTGTATAACTTGGATATATATTAGATATATATTTGAATATACATAATACGTATTGTATCCATATAATATATTCAATGAATATATATATTCCCCCACAGGGAATGATAACTCAGCAGGGTGGGGGTTTGCACTGGAGGAGGGCAGAGAGGGAATGAGCTGTAGCACACCTGTGCAGGTGGTGTCAGTTTATCCGAAATGTTTTGTTTCTTTTATATGGGTGGTGAGTACATGGATATTTATTTTGAACAAAACTTTGTACCTGAAATACTTTTTTTTATTGTCTGCCCTATAAATGGGCAGAGTTGCCCCTTTCCTTTATAAACAAGAAAGCACTTCATCAGAACGTTGCTAAAACTACAGACATGCTAGGGACGCCTGGGTGGCTCAGTCGGTTGGGTGTCTGCCTTCGGCTCAGGTCATGATCCCAGGGTCCTGGGATCGAGCCCCACGTCAGGCTCTCTGCTCCGCCAGGAGCCTGCTTCTCCCTCTGATGCTCCCTCCTCCCCCCCTAAAGCTCTCACACTCACTCATGCTCTCTTTCTCTCAAATAAATAAAATATTTTTTCAAAAACCACTACAGACATGCTAGGTCAATGTTAAATGTTATTGCACATAGTAGACCTTCAACAAATACTAGATAAGTGAATACATGATTATGAAATCCACACTGCAGATTGATGGCTGAATGTATTGCATGCTGGGTTTGTGCCAATTGCTGGACCAAGCACTTATGTGCATTGTTTCCACTAATCCTACGACAACCCTCTGAGATCAGTATTGTTATGATTATTCCCACTTTACAGAAACTAAGGCTGAGGCAGGAGAGTAAGCCCAGAGAATCAGGTAAGCAGCAGAGTGAAGAGCTGAGTTACCTCACTCATAGCCAAGTAGCATGTGCATAGCTAAGAAATTTAAGGCTGCCACCTGGAAACTGGCTATCACCTGGAAACTTGAATCCCCAGAAAGAAAACATCAATCCTTTTGGCTGGGAATTTCTGGTAAGATTATTTCCTCCCCAGGACTGAGAACTCTGCTATGATGTCTTCCTAACAAATTCCTGTCCTCCTCCCTGCACTGGCAAACCCCTCAAAGACCAATTTACAGGCAGTTGACTCAGAAGCATCTAGATCGTCTTCAAGCAGTGGGACTCCTGCAGGCACTCTACAATAAAGTAAATTGGGCCACTGTGAGCTGAACAGTAATTGTACGCTCAGCCAGATTCTCCCAAGGCTCACACTCCTTCCTGGGACTGCGATGGGCACTTGTGGAGGCCACGTTAACTCTTTCAGGCCACTGGGGTGTTGTTTGATGCACAGAGGCAATCATTTACTGAATGGTACCATGGAGACCCCCAAATAGTTAAGGCAGCTTCCAAAAGGACCTATTTTTTTTTTTCCCAAACTGGGACTTGCATGCTGGGAGAATATTGCTCAATATTTTTTAAAATTTTTATTTACCCACATTATCTAAGCTGCACCATCGTGCCTCATGGCTGTCTCTCCCATGGAAGAAAGAGAAAGAAAATGATGCTGTGGCCTCCAAAGGAAGATGAGGAATGACAAAAGCTCTTGAGGGGATGGGAGAAAACCCCAGCTTTTGAATGACAGAACCTGGCTGGTTTTCAAGGATGGCTGCAATGTTACTATTTCTTCATTACCACCGAGTTTGGTGGTTTGGTCTTTAAGTGAACTCAAAACATTCCAGAGACTGGGAATTTTCCCTGCTTGTGTGACACAGTTCACCCTCTCTGTTGTAATTTTTTTTTTTTTAAATAGGTTAGAGCACAAGTCTGCACACTCTGACCAGTGGCCCGCCTCTAAGCCATGGCCTGTTTTTGAAGATCTTATTTATTTATTTATTTATTTATTTATTTATTTATTTGACAGAGAGAGAGCAGCAGAGGGGGAGAGGGAGAAGCAGACTCCCCACTGAGCAGGGAGCCTGACATGGGGCTCGATCCCAGGCCGCTGAGATCATGACCTGAGCCCGAAGGCAGACGCTTAACCCACTGAGCCCCCCAGGCGCCTCTCTGTTATAAATTGTTTTTAAAAAGTGATGTGTCAAAACTTTACTTGCACACACAAAAAATGTTGTTTCTCCAAGATGGGAAGAAGCCACATTGCAAGCCCCACTCTGAGGTTGGGTAGATCAGGGATGGACAAAGAAGAGTATTTACCTTCACTGCCCCCTCGGGACACTACATTTGGAAACAATTACTGCTCATCCTTATTATTATATTTAATGTTACTTCTCTCTCTTCCACTATCAGTTGGGTCCCTGCGTGGTTTATATGAGAATGATTGCCACACTCAGCGGTGTAAACTCTGCACCACCGGCAGGGCTATTAGTCTCAGAGTACCTGTGCTTACCTGTGTATCTGCACACATGCATGCACGCACGTGCACAAACACACTCACTGCCCAAGCACGATCAAGTTAGTGTTAATTCTAATCCCTCCACACTAGGAAACGAATGATTCCCCCCATGTTGCCCACTGTTCTGGCTATAGATCGCTCTACAACAAACCACCCCCAAATTGAGGGGCTTATTTCTCTCATGGATCTGCCATTTGAGCAGAGCTCCGCAGGGGCAGCTTTTCTCTGCATCGCTCAGCTGGGGCAGCTAACGGGGCTCGAGCTCCACCTGCTGGATGGCACACCCACATGGCTGGTAAGTTGGCGCTGGCTGTCGGCGACAAGATCAGGGGCTTTGGTTCCTTTACACGTAGGCTTTTACTCAGGGCTGCTGAGACTTCCTCACAGCATGGAAGCAGATTTCGAAGAGTGACCGGAAGTGACAAGTGACGGGGACAAAAAGCTGCAAGTCTCTTGAAGCCTAGACCTGCACATGTCACTTCTGCCCTACTCCAGTAGCCAAGTCGTCACAAATCCCGGGAGGGGATGTGGATGCCACCTCTCAAAGGGAGCAGTGTGGACCCATTCTCAGCATCTCTAATCTACCACATCCACAGAGCTCCCCTTGTCCCCATTGGTCCCACCTCCCAGGTTGTCTGTCCCAGACAGTGAGGAATTTTACAGTCACTGACAGGGTTTCCCTATCTCTCAGCCTGTTTTCTCTCAAAGTACATATTCCAAGAACAATTCTCAACAACTACATCTATAGCTTTCCCTGTGTCTGTTATTACTGAATATCTGAGCAATGTGAGGACCTGCAGCGCTTCCTTTTCCCCCAAAGCAAACTCAACCAAGGGCCAGCAGGATCTACCCAGGCTTGCTAGAGAAAGGCCTGCTTCTCTTGGTGTGAGAGCCTCTGATAGGAAGGGTTCTAGAAAGACCAAAGCCCAAGGCTCGTTGTAGGAACACAACAGCAGTCCCGTGAATCCTTCCTGGAAACACTGTTCTACACAGAGAAGTCATTAGCTCTGTGCTGCTTCCTGTGTGAGGCAATAAAACCTCGGGCTCATCTGCAACATTCTGGAGCTGTCCACACATCACATGTAGAGGGCATGACACGGTTTTCGTACCCAATCGGTATGAGCCAGGGGAGGCCATATGTCCAGGGAGTCATGGGACAGGGAAGGAAGCCAAATGTGCTCTGTTCTACGAACCCCAGCACTGCCCGAGTGAGGGGGCCCAGGGGCTAATGACACAGGCCTGGACAGAGTGTCTCGGTTAAGTTCTGCTCCTCACGAGCAACTAGGTGACCTCGGCCACGTTATGCAACGTCTCTAAACCTCCCTTTCCTTATTTGCAAGGCTGGGATAAAAGTGACACCCACTTCATGGGGTTATTATGAAGGCTTATCAACACTAAACAAAATGCCTGGCTTAGGTAATTAGAGCTTGGTGCATGTTATTGCTATTATCAATGAAAATGCCCACCTGCCCTGGCTAAGATCCCCTCCTTGACCTCTGGAGGGGATCGTTAGAGCCGGGAGGAGGAGAGCCTGTAGTTCTGGATGAGAACTTCCTTTCTGACTCATCCTTCCAGAGTAATTCCTCATTGGGGTTCCAAGGCCCTGAAATTCCATCAGGTTCTCCCTTACTACCAAGATAGTCACCCAAATTTTGCATGGGTTCACTTTTCAACAGCCCTGTAGTTGCTCTTCCACTCAGGAGGCAATGGGGCTGGGATTTGCTATAGAACCAGCCAAGGCCATCCTTGTGCTGGCCTAGCGGTTAACGCAGAGTTAGGGAAAACACTGTCCTCTGCTGTGGATTTGGAGGAATCAAATATGAGAGAAAGCCAAAGAGGCTGAAAGGAAGTTCTTTGGGAAGAAGATGGGAAAGAAGCAGCTCTGAGGGAGTCTGCCACACCAAACAGTCCCTGTTGCCAAATCTCAAGACTCACTAGGTCGAGGCAGGTGGGGCCACTGAGGCAGGGCACTCACTGCTGTCAACCTTTCCCTGAGCCCTAACTACACATGGGCTGCCCCTCCCATACTGTCTCTAACTGACACAGGGTCTGGGCCAGGCAGGCAAGAGCCCACAACCCAGGGACACAGCCTTTTCTAAGCAGGGGAGGCAATTCAAAATCCCTTGTGTGCATTGTCTTAAAACAAAGAATATTCCAGATCATCCTAATTTCCCTTGGGCCCAAAGTGAAAAGAGTCAGGTATAGAGAGTTGAGCTCCACCAAACAAAGTAGTCTAAGACTCCTTTAGAGCTCTCGGTTGTCTCAGAGCCCTGTGGGGGCGTGGTTGCCATGACAACCAGTTCATGACTAAGGCTTTGACATAACTTTTTATTCTTTAATTTTTTGTAAGATTTTACTTATTTATTTATTTATTTTAGAGAGAGAGAAAGAGAGCACAAGTGGGAGGAGCAGAGGGAAAAGGAGAGAGATTCTCAAGCAGACCCTGTGTTGAGTGTAGAGCCCAAAAGGGGGCTGGATCTCATGACCCCAAGATCATGACCTGAGCCAAAACCAAGAGTTGGATGCTTAACTGACTGAGCCACCCAGGTGCCCCTTTGGCATAACTTTTTAAATCCTCATATTTCCAAGGGGGTTATTTATAGATAACCTTGAAGAACACTGTTTTGTGGTTTAAAAAATCAGAACAGAGTGGTTTCAAGCTTGACTTCCTACACAAGGACCTGTATTCCAATGGACGTTGTCAGTCTTCATCTACACTTCAGATTTTATCTGCACTAGGGAAAAAAAAAAATCCTTTGACCTTCCCGTGTTCCTTTGCATTAAACCCTTAATTAAGAAGCCTAAGGGTGGGGTGCCTGGGTGACTCAGTCGTTAGGCATCTGCCTACAGCTCAGGTCATGATCTCAGGGTCCTGGGATCGAGCCCCGTATCAGGCTCCCTGCTCTCTCTCTGTCAAATAAATAAAATCTTTAAAAAAAAAAAAAAAGCCTAAGGGTTCTGACTCTGGTGGGGTTTTCTTAGTTAGAACTTAACAGAAACAACAGGTTTGTAGACATGTAGGACTTAATAAAAGAATATAGATTTTAGGCAATGATAAAAAGCTTGTAATATTCTGCTTCTGCAGGGTTCATCAGAGGTGAGCTCCAGGGACTCAAAACATATCAGATTGTGTCAGCGGTTTGGGGACTTGTGGAAATGGGATCTCAAACTGCACACACGCAGTTAGTATCCTGGAGTCTAGTGGAAACGTAATGGGGACCATGTCTGCTCTCCATGTGCGGTGAACTTTACAATCATTATCTTCTCCCACCCTCACAGACTCCCAGCAAAGTGTTATTGATTCCACTTTACGGATAAGAAAACTGAGGTTCAGCAATATTTGATAATTTGTTCAAGGATGCACAGCTAATTAGCAATGGAGCCAGGACTTGACACCGTCTCTATTTGACCTGAAAGCCCATGCGTTCAACAATAGGGCCACTATGCCTCTAGTTGTAAGAGCAGGGCTTGGGAAACATGGACCAATATCGAAGTTCAGTAATAGGAACTGCTTGTACGCATGGGGTCACAAGCTCAAATGCCTTCAGGTCAGGCAACATAAATGAGTAATGTGGGTTGGGCGAAAATACTAGGGAATGGAGGACTGGGGCAAACTGAGAAACAGAGACCATCTTCTGTCTAAAAGGGGTGCCCCTAGGCATCTCCATCCAGTCATCAGTATTACATCTACCAAAATTTTCAAGAGAAACTGGAAATCTGATTTTCATGTGAAAACGTTCCATTTTGAAAAAAATGGCCACAAAGTCCTTCGTTAACCCCTACAAGCAAACAAGACACATTCTGGATGCTATTTAGGATCCTCCATTCTGGACTAAACTCTCCACAATGGTAAAACCTCTGTCTATCTTCCCAACTCTCATAGCCCCAGGCCCCAGCACAGGGTATAAGAATTTAAGAAATATGTGTACAACAAATGAATGAATCCTCAAATCAACAATCTGGAAAGAGGTAAAGAAGGACTAAGCTCTGGCTCGTGAATGAGAGTCCTTTCAACAGAGCCACGGCTGCCCAGATGGATGGCAAAGAGTGCAATGGCCAAGCCCACACGTGTGGGGGGGCAGCAAATTTTGGTGGGGGGCAGGAGGTTGCTCACATTTTTCCTTCCATAAGGCAAAGTTGACCTGAGAACTGGGGGAGACTAAACCACCCTCCAGAAGTTAGGGTTGTCAGGGCAGGGAGGGCTAGGAATGGGAAACCTGAGCTGTCTTTCCTCACCTAGTTTTTCTTTTCCAGTACATTCCCTATGCGCCAGTTATCCAGTCTGTGAAATGGAATGGATGGGGTATACAAGTCCAAAAGATGGAGGAAAATAATGAATTCATGGACAGTAGGTTAGCTGGCAAAATTTTTTTACAGAAGGGCATGCCTAAGTACTCAGTGCATCCTAGAAATATGATCCCAAGAAGATTCTGATTCATCTTTGGAAATCCTTAAATATTTCTGGTTAATAAGTTAGATGAAACAAATCAACAAGGGAGTTTCCCAATGAAAACCTGCCAGGTCTCAATCTGTCTTAGTCTAGTTTCAAATGTGAGAAGTATCTCATATTCTCTGTGCTTTGAATGTAGCTATATGGTTTGGTTTTTTTTAAAATAATAACCCAAAATCAATAGTCAAGCAAAAACTAAGTCCTCATAAAAAGATGTGTTTCCAACTCTGCAACTAAACTTCAACATATTCAACTATAAAGCAGACCTCACTGGCAGGACCTTTGTTCTGAGACAGCAAAAGGAATCCTTTGTACCCAAACTGTCACCAGCTGCCATTGGCCAGAAGGGCAGCTTAGTGGACAGGCTGGACTTCTCTCCCATGCTGGTGGCTGTGTTCTCCCAGGCCTCACTGTTGACATTGCTGGTGTTTGAGCTTACCTGCCATCCCTGCAACCCAGGACACGCATTCTTTCCCTAACTCCAGCTGGTCTTTCTCTGGCTCCCACATTGGGATTGTGGTTGAACAATATAATTTTTTTAACTAAGGAGACAATATTACTCAAGAGCCAACTGTCCTTTCCAACTCTTCCTCATCCTGGAGATGAGCCTTGCTTGCCATCTTTATTAAATAGCACAACGCTCCCCTCTAAGAAACCCAGCAGGGACCACTTGTGATGATATTAAAACCACCAACTCCAGCTTCTGATCATCCCAGAAGTGTCCCCAGAGCACTGTATCATCTTCTTACAGTTTCAAAAATAAGAATACCAACCTTCAGGAACAGTGGGAGGAGATTCAACAGGCTCTGCTGATGTTCAGCCGGGCTCCCATGAGCCAACTTCTGGTATTCCAGAAATTTCCTTTCTAGCATCTCCCAGAGAGCAGTGGGACCAGGAGATTGCCTTCCATGTGGGAAGTCAGGCTGAGCAACATCAGGCTGGCCTTCAGTTTTGGAACCTGGATACTCAGCTCTGTCTTCAGCCCTTGAAACGTCCTCTGCCTCCATGCCTTAGCAAAGCAGATCTGAATTCAGAACAAAAAACAAAAATGTCAAGTCCTGTCACAGCACTTCCTGATTAGGCTGGGTGTGGGACAAGGTACTGTACTCACTCGGTTCAGTTCCTATTGAAGATGGTTCTGCTAAGAATCTGAAACTGAACAGACGAAAATAAGACTTTTTTTTAAAAGAGATTCTGACTTAGATGTGACTCATAGTGACAATCTGACATGTGCCTGACACTGTGCTGGGCTCTTTACACAGTCTCAGGAGAGAAATGGGTATTTTCATCTTCTCTATATAAGGAAGGAAACTGGCTGGGCCAAAGGCATACGGGCAGCTAGATGTCCAGTTGAAGTGCAAACCTTCAACACCAAACCTGGGGGTTTTTTGTTGTTTGTTTTGGTTTTGTTTATTGCCTGCTGCTGTTCCTCCCCTAAAAGGCCAAGTAAGTAGAAGGGGTATGTGTGATTGTCACCAATATTTGTACAGGCCTGTAATTCTGTATCGTCAATGGTAACTTCCTTCAACCACATGAGTCTGAAAGGACATAGGTTCTTCACTCTCAGCATTATTTGGTTCACATTCCATATTGTTAAAGAACTTTGTCTTCAAAAGGACTCTTTAACACCCCCCCCCATGCTAACTTAAAAGAGCTCCTTTATTAACACACATAGGGGTGATGTGTGCAAGCTGCAGATCTTGGGTCAGTAGGCAGGAGGACAAGAACTTATGTGGTAAAAATAGCCAAAGACCAATTGGCCAGAAGGGTAACCTCAAGAAGATGCCTTTATTTGTGTCCTTGACTTTTCAATTGTCCTAGTCTTTAGTTGAGTCATGACTGACTCACAGCACAGCCAAGATTTGTTTGCTGTGTGTCAGGAGTATAGGATACTCCACGTGGGGCCCAGAATGCCCAGGCTTCCTGCAAAAATCCCTCCCCAACCACAATGTCACCATGTAGGAGTCCATTCTGGAATCCAGCCAGTGACCAACAACCACCAATCATGGCATAGCAACAAGAGGGATGGGCACACAAAGATGGATCCACCAGTGTTGTGCTCTGGGCTGCAGCAGCTGAGGGCAGATGTCATGCTTTATTTTTAGCCCAGCACATGCTCCCTGCAGGCTAGAATGGGAGTGGATAAAGGGTCATGTGGCCAGACACACCATCCCTCTTTGAAACATTCTTACCCTTTATGTACACAACTCCCTGAGTCCCTAGGGCTTCTTCCACCACACATGCTTAGTACTCTCAAACTTCATTTTCTTATTACAAAAGCCATGTGAGTTCAGTGTCAGAATAGGAGAGGAACCAAGTATCAGGAAGACTATCAA